GTCTTGTAGTCGCGCCATGAGGAGAGGTCCGTTCCCCTGGAAAGTTCAACTAATTTTTAATTTATTTTTTTTTTTTTTTTAAGAGGCTGAAACAGTACTAGAGCCATGAGGGTATTGTAGCGTATGAGGGTGGTTAACAGGTGAAGGGGGGAAAAAACAGTGTAGGTGGGTGGTGGTGGTGGTGGGGGAGGGCCAGGAATCAGGGAAGGGCGGCGGTCTTCCCACAGCCGGGGCTGGGTAGCCACAAGGCCCGAGGAGGTTCAGAATATGGGTCGAGCGCTGCAACGCCAAACACTGGTTGGGGCCTCATCCATGTTACTTGGAACAAATTACATCTATCATGCTGGCTATAGGTTTTAAAAAATTATTGTGTTTTTTTTTTTTAATCAATCATATCAGCACTTTCAGTGTAATCAAGCGGCGTGGCTGTAAGTCTGTCCTGTCACACTCTGACTTCCTTCTATTTTATGAGGTGCCAGGTGGCAGCAAACAGGTCTGCAAAGGCAGCTGGATGCAGCCTTGCCTAATTCCTAGGCTGCTTCCCTTTCTGGGAAATCCTTAGCCTCCGGTGAGGTTTCTACATGCCTCAGAAAATGTGTGGGAAGAGCTAGGTGGCGGGAAACAGGTTTCCTCAAATGTGCCAGGAAAGGCTGTTACAGTCAGTTGGCATTTTACCTTTAGCTTCAATGCACGTTGGAGCGATTCCAGCCTGTGGGGAGACTCCCTTGAACAGTTGGTTAAATATAGCACTTCTCTAGAAACAAACTGCACTGCCTTGTCTTTTCCTGAATTCTGTGGGTGTTTAAGTAAATGAGATGTGGCTTGGGCCTTATAATAAAGGAGTAAGGTGTAAAGGGGTTACCAGTATTTAAATGATCAGCAACAAAATTTATGTGACTGTAATAGCATGCATTGCAGAAGGATGTGTTGCTGATACCTTCTGTCATGTGTCTCTGTGGTTGTAATTTACTTGTAAAGATTACAGTTACCTTGGAAATGAGGGAAAAACACAATCCGTTTCACTGTGAATGCAACATCCCACCTCTAAAATAAAAATTAAATTGACATTATTATGAGGCAGATTTTTTTGTTTTTCAGTCCCAAGCTTTGAGTTTGAAATAGGAGTCAGGGCAATAGTTTTAATCCTCGTGAGGCAGGAAGAGACTCGGAGAAATGTCTGCATATGTGCCTCATGTTAGCGTGAGACCTGTGTGCATGCCAGCCTGTCTTATCATAATACTCGATTTCTGTGGAGTGGGAGCCTGGAGGGTGTGGGCCAGCAAGGAGCTATTGTCTGCTCCAGCCGGGTCCCATCTGGGTGCAACCTGGAGCCTGAGACCTCTGGCATGCCACAAAGTACACCTACCCATTGATAGCTTTTCATCGTTGCAGTGGCTTTAGGAGGGCTTTCAGGGTCTCCTTTCAGCTGCGTACCCCTGCCTTTTCTGTCCCATAGCTGCAGGTGGTCTGCTCTCCTGCCTTGCCAAATTCAACAGCTGCCGTTAAGACATGGTCTGTTTGCTTTTTCCCACCTAATACCTCAAAACTAAGAAGGTTATAGAAAGCTTTGCATCTTCTCTGGGCTTCAATATTGTTGTTCCAAAGTTTAATTACTATTTCTCACTGAATAGGATCTTCCTAAAAAGAGATTTTCCTTTCTATATTGCTTCTGGATACAAACCTGTCATTCTCTATAAGAAGTAGAATCTTTTATAGTGATGAGTTACCCATATGTTTTTATTCTATTGATTTTTTTTTCCATGATACACTTTCCAAAATGTTGCTGCCTCCGATTGTACATTAGTTTATTTATAAATAATTTTTTTTTCTTTCTGTAGCAAATGTTATCGTTAGCACCTAGCTCTGAAAGAATGACTTAGGGGAAATACTGTATCCTGTCATCTTTTCAACCTATAATTATCTTTGTTATTCCATTCTAAGTAACACAATTTTAAAAATTACTTCACTGTAACTGTAGCAAAATATTGCATCAATGAAATGGCTTTTGATCCTAGAAAGGATAATATGTAAAATATCTGCTAGTCTGATGCTGATCAGTCAGTATCAAGTTGATTAATATCTAACATTTATTTCCGGTAAAATAAATTTCCTTTCACTAAATGTAGCAAACAGTTAAATTCTTTCCCCCCTCCTATTATAGTCTGTTTTCCCATCCCTATTAAAAGTTTGTGCCTTGAGGCCTACCAGCAGGGCATGCAATACCTACATTAAACCAAATTTAAAAGTAAGGGTGCTCCTGCTGCTAACGTCCTCAGATCACAGACATGCAAAATGAAGGAACTGGCAGCTGAAACTTTAATGGTAGGAAGTGTAGACTGAATACTTGGGTAAAAAACACAGTAGCTCTATATGACAAAAAAGTCTTACTAGCATTTATGTACTTCAAAATGACAAGCTAGATGATTCTACATAACTGTGGGGCTTCCGGCTTTTGTTTTAAGTAAAACCCTCTGTTGTAAGTATAGCATTACTTACATTTTTCATCCAAAGGATTGTTACTATTATGATTATGTATTATTTTGAACATTAATACAGTGCCTGTTGTTGCATTGCACACTGCGTGTTCAATCGTTTCTCCACCTTAGGTGTTTAAATATTATTAATACTTGGGCCTAAATAGCTTGAGGAAGCACAGGGAATCACAGGCAAGTGAAGTTCCTGAATCAGTTGTCCCTGTGCAAATCAAAAGCACTCCAATGAAAGAGAGAAAACTGTTGAAAGTAAGATCACAACCATTCCTATGCATTACGTCCTGAAAAGTCTGAGGCCTGAAAAGGTTTGTGTGGAACTGGAGTCTGGTTTTACACATAATGGACTGGGAATAAAAGAGAGTTGACTGGGAAGCAGCACAAAAAGGATAAGAAACTGCATCACTGTGAAGACATTGTTTCAAATAACATTGGTTTTGTTTGTTTGTTTTAGTTAAAATGAATGTGTTGCCTCAAGCAATTCTACAAAGCCCAGGGGAGCATCCCAGGTTCATAGAGCAGACTGTTTGCCCCTCATTAGACTTTGCAAGGTATGTACCTCTTTTCTTTCAGAGTGTCATTTTTACTGTGAAGATCTTCAATCAGCTATGCCGAGGTGACAAATTATGTTTGCTTTTTTGCAATATTTAAAACTGCAAAAATCAGAGGCAAGGAGATTCTCTTTTAGGCAAGTTTCATAATTAAAAAGAAAAAAAAAGAAATAGGAAATATGTTCTGTTTAAGATAGATATTTCATCTTAATTTTTCAAAACCCCTTCAAGAGCCGTAGGAAGTTATTTCCATTTAGCATTGATACGAATGTAGGTCGTTGAAAATGTACTTATTTGGATGAAAAACGAAGATATTTTCTTTTTCATTCAGGCACAAAACAGTTTCGCGTCTCTTAAAATATAATGAATAAAGCTGGCTTGAAAAACATTATCCTGTGTTTAATAACTGCGAGAGTTGACAGTGCTGTAATACTTTCAAGCCATCTTCTTGCACATGCCTACATGGCTTTCCATTCTGTCACACTCATTTCTCCTTTTAGTTACTTGTATCCACACATTTTTCTCTCCCTCGATGAGTACTGATCTCTCAGTGACTACTCTGTCCCACTATGCTCTTTTTCCTGGAATTGCCTCAATTTCAGAAAGAACTGTGGTTATTTTCTTCCCTCCTTTTCTTCCCTTCCCTCCTTTTCTTCCCTTCCCTTCCCTTCCCTTTTTCTTTCCTTTTTTTTTAAATTTTTTTTTCCCCATCCTAGCATTACCCCTTAGCCTTTGGCTGAAAGGTCTGGGGCATCTCAGAGTTCAGCAGCTGCATGTCCATATCTAAAAGCAGTAAAGATCTAAAAACATGGTATCCTTGGGCGCAGTCTTTCTGATTGGTGTCCTCTCACACATTGGTAGAATAAGGACATGCAGTGATGCCTTACAATTTTATTTATTTTTTTTTTTTAATCTTTTATGGCTGGAGCCATGTTCTGCAGCCATCACTTTTTCCAGTAACTAGATTGCTGGAGAACTCGCCACACAGGTAGGAGGCTTGTTTCTTCCCTTTACTTCTGGTTTCATGTTCGAGAAGATCATTCTGCAGCAGTCCTGTAGAAGTTGTGCCTATTTGCAGAAAAGAAATGTGTGATACTGTAATGGTCTAGACCATGCTGTAGACACCTAGTGATTAGAGCAAGACAAGCTCTGCCATTTTGTTTGATAGGAAATTGTGAGAAAACTGGAGTCTGACTTAACAGAATGGGCAGCGGGTATAGAAAGTTATGTGAGAATCAGTTTGGTCCTTTATGCGACTTTGTTCGGTTCTGTGATTAAAAAGCCAGGTGTATTTATCATGAAGTTTATTTATAGAAAAAAAAATCTAATAAAAGCTAATTTTTTCTGGGTAGACTAGTAACAGAAATAGTTATAGGAACACATGATGTAAAATGTTAACTCTGGGATAGGTGTCCATTGGATTAAAATATATTTGTCTTTAATAAGAGAGTGATTTAAAATGAAATGGGAACAAAGTTACAGGTGAAATAGACTTTTTTATAAACTGTTAAATATAGTGAGTCATCATAGAAAAACTGGAGAAGTAAAGGTAAAACAGTTTGGAAAAAGCAAGTGACAACTTCTGGAAGAGAAGAAGCAATGCATCTTAGCCTGTGCCATCCTCACCTCATTTTTCTATTAAAAAACAAAGTCCATTCCAAGTCACAGTCTCAGTTCTTCACATTAATTATTTTTATTGTTTTTAATTCTTGTTGCATATAACGACATTTTAAATAATGATTATTCAAGTTGATGGAATTTTCTACTGTGTATTTTTTTGTATGTATCATCTGCCTGTCTTTTCTGTGTTACTGCTACATTAACATCACTGATAATAACAGCCAGGATGAGAGAAGTATTTATTATTTTTAGTAACTTAAATTCTTTCTGATGGATGACTCTGTAGTTGCATCAGTCCAGTGTAGGGCATTGCAGCACTTATGTAAACGGAAATTGGTTTGCAAGTTGTTGCTTTTGTTTTTTCGCCTTGGTTCTAGTTGTCTTTAAGTTAGAGGATCTTACCAATCAGAACTCAGAAATTTATACCTTGACTATAGGGCAGGTGACACTTTAAATCATATATGATTCTAGGAGCTTTTTACCTGATCGGTTTTTATTAAAACACCTTTGAGAAGATAATGAGAAGGCATCAGGCTTTCCTTTATTCCAGTTTGAGATGATTTTTAACTGCAGTGTAGATTAAATTGCAGCAAGCTGATAGTGGTGCCTAGGAATTTGCTTGTTGTAGTAGACTGTTTCAGTTTGGGGGTTTGGACTCCCCCACTCCCCCATATCTGGTGTGTTCTCTGTGTGCTACTGACGTACAGAAAGCTCATTTTTGCAGTCTTAAAGTACCCTCAACCAGGTTTTTTTGTATTGTCTGATGAATACTTCATATTTAGTTACCTAGATATACTATTTTTCAATTTTTCTATTACATCATATAAACCTATTGTATCTTGAAATGTTTTACATAAATTTAAAAATATACAATAATTACCTTATCTTCATTATGCTAATGACGTTATGTATCTTCCTAAATTGTGACTATTTTGGTGTGAAAATTTTGATATTGATTGAATTTCGGTATTGATTATAAATGAATTTTTATGGCAATATCTGTAAGGTGTACATTTTGCATGGTCAGCAGCAACTCATATGGATTGTGTTATGTGCAGCTTGAAAGCATAAGCCTCTGTTGGTGCAGCTCAGTAGTAGTAAATTCTGGAACAAATTTAAATGCCATATTTGTGCCGCAAGTTTTCACTATTACATTGTTTTAAATACAGACATGTCAAAATATCTCTACATTGCTTAGCTATTTTGTTTTCTTTTAAATGAACTTCATGAAGTGTCTTTGGTATTCTCAGAGCAATAAGGAGCATGACGCTTATATTAGCTAGCATTATGAAAAGAATTTACTCTCATCCTTGTAATGAAAGGCAGCAGTGTAATACAGACAGAGAAAGAGGAAAGTAATAGATTTATGTGGAACACTAATGTTGAATTTCTTTTATCTTTGAGTGATTAACCAGACAATCTTTATGCTCTTTTAAAGAAGAATAAAAATAAATTCACATTACTTTTATAAAGATAATATCCTCTACAATCGGGATATCAGAATCTATTTAAATACACTTTATGGTCAGTAAGTGCATATTATCCTTTAAAATTCAAGGCATCTTTTGTGGATCAGAGTGGAGATGCAAAGAGATGATGGCTCAAGTGAAAGGTGAAATGTGCAGTTCAAATGTTAGAGCCGGATCCATACATCCTGAAATTTCCTGTTTTATTTTAATGCCCTTTGGATTACCCCCTTAGTGGACCACCTTTTGCAATATGCTGCTCAAACTGTGGAACACTGAGAGCAGTATTAAAAGTCTACATTGCACTAAGGAAAACATTTTGAGATGGATTTGGGATTTTTTTTTTGTTACTTTTCTTTTTTTTTAATTTTGAAAAAGTTAAATAGAAAATGCATTGGACCGCTCTGATCCATACTGATAATGCAAAAATGTAATGGTTCTGGTTTAGAAAACGGTTTAAATATGGATAGCTTAATTATTATTGATTTAACTAATACAAAATTTCTTCTAATTTAAACAGAAATATCAGATAACAGGGTCCTTGAAAGCTAGTACCAACTCTGTTTTCTTTCACAAATAAAGATTCGAAATAGCTACAGACCAAAAAATTAAAAAGATATTTGTATGTGTTTATAGAATGTCTGATATATTACTTTGTCAATATTTCAGTGTTTAGCTCTACTTGGCAATGCTAATATATTATACATGCTGCAGAAGTCTATGTTAGCACCTCACAGTGTTTCTTTTAATTTTTTTCATTTAAATTTAGGATTCATTTGATCAAAGACAAAGATGGCATAGATGATTATTTGGCGAAGAATATCAAAGGGTTGTCAAAGCAAGAAGCTGCTGCGTAAGTTGGCTTTTTTTGAGGCATTTTAACATCCATAAGTTTATTGTTTCCTTTGTTTCTAGTCATCATAATCATTTAAATTTAAAGTTCCCTAGGCCCGACCCTTTCTAGTGGAACTTGGCATTTAAAAATTGAAGTTGATATTAAATAATGATGGTTCATTTCTCCTGATCTTAAATATATCAAAGCATTTAACTTTTTACTAATTTGTATATTTACCAAAGTATTATATCACATTTGTAATGTTATTGTTAAGATTGTGGCTGTAATTATAATTGAAATTGTGCTTCCCCCCCCCCCCCCCC